CGCCGTGCGGACAAATTTTTCCTTCTGATCGACCTTTATATCTCGTAGCTGCTTTTGCGTACGCATTGATCGAGGAAGCAGCTTCTTCATCCAGCACTTTCACGACCCTCAGCTCCCTCAATCTGAGTGTGCAGGTAACCTAAACCTCACTTCGTCATCAAAACTGTAGGCTCCCTCGTTACTGTCGTGGTAAGGTTGCTCGATGATTGAGGGCATCGTGCTTATTCAGCTCCATTATTTTGGCATCTGCAGCTAACACGCTGGCGTCAGGGTGGTGGAGAAAGAGTTTGAGGAAGCGTCTGGAGGGGTCGGTGCTGATGGTAGCGGATAAAATCCTTGTGCATATTGCAGAAGAAGAAGCAAGAGGCAAGCGAGTGGTACTAACAGAGAGACCACTCCTTGTTGTATAAGAGCTTACATTACCGGTTACCACTCTTGGTAATGGGCAAGTAATTTGAGTTCGGAAAAGAGTGACAGAACTTTCCCGCCAACCTAATACAAATTCAGTGTACCCGGAGGGTAGGGAGGAGCTTGCTTGGTCTTAGCGGAAGCCAGATCGGGAATCGACCCTGAAACCTCGCGTGTGGTGAGCAGACTAGTTTACGCTACACCACCTTCATCAGAGGAAGATGGTTTTCATCTGTTCTTCGAGTAATGGAATGATTTTGATACACTCGTGTCCCACTGGAGATGCATCCGCCAGACAGGATCGGCAACAATATCACTTGGTGCGGCTCCTAGAAAATAAGACATATTCCAATGCTGAGGGAGATGGGCAAGGGCCCAAGTGTGTTTATTTGGGGATCAAAGTACCATGGAGTACAACCCATTTGTCAAATCTACAGCACGGAGAAATTTTGATCGAAATCTCGACTGAAGTTCGAAAAGTGTACGGTAAAGAGCAAAAGTGCCAAATTGTTCTGATCACATTTCAGGCTGTACCCTACCTCGGTCCACTTGAGTACTTCTTGAACACTCCATCTAGCCACCGAGTCCATCATGGCAGAAATCCGTACTGCATCGACAGGAACTATGGCGGCACTCTGATTATATGGGATAGGTGAGGTTATTTTCTGGTTGGAAACCTCTGTAATTGCTCTATGCGTGTCCGAGGTTTTGTGAATCACCTAGAAAGTCGAAAGTGATGAAATCTATGCGGACCTGATGTAGATAGAGAGGAGGCCCTTCCAGAGAACCAGAATCCAGATAGATTTCTTGGATATTTTGATCAAAACACAGCTGTCATTCATTTTCTGTTCTTCTATGGAGACAACATTGATCCATTAGACCCATCTTGTCCATGAAGTTGTTCGTAAATGCTTTGAGACAAGCGCAGGCCTATTCTGAAGGTAAATTCAAGCGCGGAGCATTCCAAGTAGGGTACAGCGTCATAATGTGTGAAAAAGGGATGTCAATCCCCCCCCCACCCTCTCCTCCAAACTTGCTTCTGCGACCCCGTACCTCATCCCACTTACCATGTTCCTGAACTTTCCCAACTTTGTATCAGTTTCACGAATTTTTCCCAGTTTTTACCCAAAAAACGCCGTCGAGCGGGGTGCAGGGGAGGTCAAACCTCGAGAAAGTTTCCTCGCGGCTTGGAAAACTTATATCAAGAACAGAGCATCCCTCCTGCATGTTATTCTTCCAGCGGTACTACATTTTGATTCCAAACCGACTTATGGGACTAAATATGCTCCCAAAAAAGGAGAAGATGTCGCCGTTTTTAGACTTTTCGGCACCTATGAACCAGAGCGAAAGGACGAGGAGATCGCGTACGGATTAGTCACTCCGGTCGCATCGTTTAATCAGCTGTGGTGCCAGGTTGGTATAAAACTGGTTTGATTGGTAGGCAGCAGACGAGTATCTAAAAGTTGGTTTCAGTTCTTCGAGTTCAAGGCACTGGGCTATGATAAAGGTCAAATGAGGAACGAGAAGAACGAGGAAGTATTCCCGGGCGTGTGGAACAAGGTGCTTGTCATTGCATCAGACCCTGCTTTCCCTGCATAGGGGAACGGTTTCTTTATCGCCCTTGCACAATTTTGTAGCGGATAATAAAATGAAGCATGCATTTCAGGTGAAAGCCGCTCTTTGGCCTCCAGGTTACTTCCCAGGAGTGCGAACAAAGCCTTTCTTTTTGTGGTTATGCATGTATGATAACACAGAGGGAATACCCGAGGTAAATTTTGGGCATCGTATGGGATGAAATGAACTGCTCCTTGTTTGCCATTCCGGCGACAACCTGAATTACGCCATCCAACATCACTGTTGCCTGTCTGATTCCCAGATCGAATTATAAATGCAACTGCTTTTGCAGATCGAACATCCTGTAGTCCCTTACAATCCTCCACTCATGGGCTCCCTCCGATGCTATCTATTCGCACAATGGCTGCTTATCATCGTTGGTTTTCTACAATTCGATAAGCTTCGTGTATTCCTGAGCTGGCCTGAGTTCCTTTGTCGAGTCGGCTTCCTAATTGCGTACATACAGATGTTTGGCTACTACTTTGATCACAGGTTTGTTCTCAGCTACACAGTTTAGAGTGGGTGGGGGGAGAGGAGGGACAAGTAACGCTCATCTTGCTTTTATTCATAGAAGCATTTCAGCCGTTTCTCCGTGATCTACGACTCAACGCGGTTGGTGTTCACCATACTACTGGGATGGTTCCTGAAAGACTCTTCGATGGTCATCTATAGTTTAGCATCGTTGGCCATTATCTCGTGGCTCGCATCGGCTGGCAAAATATCCTCGACCGTGAAAATAACTGAGAAGAACACCAAATAATCTTCCAGCGAATGATCTCAAATATTGTAAATTTTATGACATATCGGAAAGGTTAAAATATGACCATGAAGTTGAAGTGGAACAGTTGCATTGTGGAAATCATTCAGTAATGTCCGAAAGTGTAGCAGAGCTGTCGCGGACAACGGGACGTACAGGTCTCGTAAAGCCACACGCTGACATTCTTCCCCATTTAATTAGGATAAGTCCAGCAGTTAAAGGACATACAGACATGTGGACCGAGAAACGCACGCTATCGGTCAAATTTCTGCTACTCAGACATTCTCTTAGAAAAGAATATGGACTCCGCCGCTGATTGTTACCACTTGAGTATTCACCACGCATTCTACTTCGGAGCGTTTGGACACATGTACTATGCATAATACTTTGCTCCAAGTTGTAAGAGCCGTTCAATAGCCATTTTACCAGCGCGGATACGGAGATCCCACAGCGACCTCACACTCTACGGTAGAAAATAGT